AAAACAAGTCATGCAGAGAGAATAATAGAGGATAAGGCATATATGTTATTAGAGAAGAAGTAAGGGGCTTTCTAAGGAAATACTATTAGAACAAGGCTGATAATCAATGTCAGTCCTGCAAAGATCAAAGAAAAGAACTTTCTAAAAAAGAGGAGAAACAAAGGTACCTGCTGTGAGTCTGATCTGACATTCAGATTATAATTTCAAGCCAGAGAATTATAGTAAAGAATTCAGATGTTATTCAAATTGAGAAAAATATGTTGGTGGCTTCAAGTAGGATAGAAGAGTAGAAATGCAGACAGTGAGCAACTTCATGATCTATTCTAGAAGTGAAGTATAAAGTAAGATTTCCTAGTAGGTTTGTTAAGTGAGATGAAGTCAAGAGGGGTATTAAGATTGATTTTAAGGCTTAAACATGGATGGATAATATTGCTATTTATTTATTGAGATTGGAAAATAAGGTAAGAGGAGATTTTAGGAAGTTATAATACAGAAGAGGACAACATTTATAACTATCTATATATAATTAGGATTTCAAGAAAGCAGTTGGATATTTCAATTTGGGTTAAATAAATGGATTTACATAGAGAACTTTTAGTTTAGTTTAAATACTGTTTGCAAAGACTAAAGTTATCAGAAAGAAGGGGGCTAAGAATGATTATTAGAGGTGGATGTTATTTTAGAGTGAAGCATATTTTTTAAAAGAAAGCATTTTTATTAGAGCTACACAGGAAGAAACTAAACAGCTCACATACATTACGGGCTTTTCACAGAGACACTGCAAGTTCAGAAATAGAGACTGGATGAGCATCCATCTGCAGGATTATTACTAAAGCAACTGTTACAAGGGATGGGAGTTTCCCTAAATGTTCTTCCAAGGTACCAATTTTTAAAATACACTATGCTTTATTTTAACTTATGCAACTTTTTTTGTTAGTAAGTAAATACTAGAGTAAAAATCATTGGCATATAAAATGTGTGTGCTAGTAGCCATTCTGTTACCTGTTTTTGTTAACAAAAGGTTATCCAGATGCCTGTCTCCGACTCCAAGTATATATGTAATCACACAATATCCAGCTAAAATGAGATAAAAAAAATTTATGAAAAACATTAATCAGGTTATGTATCCCACTGAATAAATATGAAAACAATGTGTGCTACTTTAATTTCAACTTGCTTTTTCATATCTAGTTTCTCCCTAAATTTTCAAATTTGTAATTTCCTTTGGCTCTATTTAA